GAGAAAGCTGCTCCCGGCGCGCCCGCCTCCCTGCGCCGCTCGCCCGGCCGCGCTGGAGAGAAGCCTGGGCTGGGTGTGCAGTGCCGGTCACTGCAGGGCGCCCTCTCCGAGCCGGGCAAGTAGAACCGAGGGCAGGGGAAGGAAGGGATGAAGTGTTTTTGTTGGGAGCTGGTGAAGAAAGATGGTTGCCGGGGGAGAGCCTGGACAACTATCCTGCGCGGCTCCCCTTCTCTAGAGTGCCAGGTAACAGGTCACCAATCGCTAAGGCTGCCTGCTGGTTGCAACCGCTCTGCTCCCAGTTGCTGGGCTTTCTGAGCTCTGCGGGGCTGAGGAAGCTTGAAAACTGTGTGCTTTGTCCAGACACTAGGGAAAGGGCCAGAGGTCATCCTGTACAATTCCCAGGACACTGAGCAGTCCTATCTATAGCATCCGTGACAAGTGCCACAGCACCAGTCAAGTAGTACACAGTAGAGGCAGCGATGGTCACAGAACTCATCCCTGACTGGAGCTTTGCCAACAACGGACATGACAAGGGGCTTGTGTGTCCTGTGAGTCATGCAACCAATCTAAGTGTCAGTTTCCTCACCTATAATAGCCTCCCAGGTCCCTTGGCATTCTAAATTCTATAGTTTCTTAATGCAGGAGCTCACTACCTTTAGAGGAGCCCCACTTTAATCTATTCTTCATTCATTCATTCTACAAATAGTTACGGGGCACAAACTCTTTTCCAGGAACTATTCTAAGCTCTGTAGATTCAGAGGGGAACAAGAGAGACCAGGTTTCCACCCACCGCTCCTTCTCCTCCTTCCAGTGGCACAGAGCCTGAGCTGCCACTACAGCCACAGGCACTAGACTATGGCGTATGGGGTTACAAGGAGGGATGAAATCACCACAATTTTTAGTGATAATGCCAACCGATGGTCATTGGTGTCAATTCGGCGCCAACAGGCATTCCCAATTTGGAGTGCGGTGAAGAAGGAAACTTTATTGAGTGCAAACAGTTCAACTGTGATACAGCATGGCTGTGAAACAGCTCAATAGTGTTACAGCTCAATTAAGAAGCAGCACCGGCTGGGGAACAGCACTGCTTCAAGGTGCCCTGGACCCGACCCCTTTCCTGCTACACGGCTCCACTCTGTTCTGGCCTACACTGCTTGTCCGCTGGGGCCAGGGACCACAGACTTCAGTCTTCCACCAATAGGAAAAGTACCAGAGGGGAGCTGACTTACATACACAAAAGCCCCAGCACCAGGTCATAGGACTCCAGATCCTTGCAGTTCCGTCCGAAAAGCACTGTTCTGATTAGTCAGAATGGAGACTAAGTGATTGGTGAAGATGCTGGCGGGGATATCACCACGCAGGTCCGATGGACAGGGAAAGCCTCAGTCCTGTCGGTTGAAATGCTATTCCAGGAACTCCTGTATAAGAGCAGGCTCAGGAAACAGGAGCACAGTGCAGGCAAGCAGGTTAGAGCAGGAGGCTGCCCGATTCTCCCTGAAGAGTGGTTCGTGTGAGGGGCCCCCAGGTAGAAATGGCTATAGGCTCTGCTTTTTAAAATTGAAGCCCAGTTAAGCCACTGAGAGCCCATCTTGTTAGGTATCTTCTTTCTTAGGGGGCACAATATGAGAGTAAGGAATTCTTCTACACAAGAGGAGCTCAAAAAAAAAGAAAGCAAGCAGTTCTCTTCTGTATAAGTGGTGATAAAAGACAAATAATTGTAGAGGAAGCAAAGTAGATGTTGGTGGGTGACACTATAAAGGGCCCATACACATCCTTTGCGAAGCTGCTGCCTCTGAATGACTGCCAATTTGCTTTTAAGATGCGGCGTACAAAACAAAAGAGTCTAAGACAGAAGATCAAGTGGTTTATATTCTGGGCTCCTGAAAATACACCTTTCAAAAGCATTGCTAGTTCTTATGCTAGCTCTAAATACACCATTAAAAAAATTACAGGTATTAAACATGAATGGCAAGTATATGGCTTGGATAATATTTAGGATGCTTGTCACTTGGAGAGAAATGGGGAGGCTATGTAATAGTCTTGCTTGAAGAAAAGCCCCTATAAAATCACAATCCAATGCCATCTGGATGTTAAGAAGCTCCCACTTCTTCAGTTCAGTCAATTGGATTAGTATTAGGTTTTGTTTTGTTTTTTCCCCTTCCAAATAGGCCCTTCCAAAACAATAAACAAAGGATATGTTCACTTAAGCAGCCTATCAGTGATTGCCATTAGACTGTTTAATACTGCTACCTCAATGGAAAATTCATGGGATGCCTTCCCATCATATTTTAGCCCAAACAATGGGTTATATTCCTCCCTTGCAGCAAGCACTACAATGAATGGGATTGTCAATGTGAATAGCTTCGAATACTGCAAAGGGTAAGCTAATTGAATGCCCTAAAACTAGGATTCTAAAGAGGGAAAATAGAAAACAAGAAAATTAAACAAGAAATATAAGATAGGTATAATAATAACGTAAGATAGTAAAAACTCAATAAAATAATATAAGATAGTTGTTTAAAGGAAGCAAAAGAGAAGTGCTCATTAGATGAGAAACCCAAAATGACACTGGTAAAAAGATAAAAATTTCTCTCAGGTAAATATAAGCTGACTTAAGAAAGTGGCTCCAGCTTCCCCTTCCTTCCCCTCCCTTCCCTCCCTCTCCCTCCCTCCCTCTCCCTCCCTCTCTCTCTCTCTCACACACACATATACACACACACTCACACACACACACACACAGGCCCTCTTGGGACTCCTGCTGCAGGGGGCTGCTCTGTGCCCGCATGGTGCACAGCCATGTTGGGCTCCACACATTAAATGGACATTACTATGGTCTGAATGCTAAACCACACCCTGAAAAAAAATTAAAATTAAAAAAAAATAATTAAACTTAAAAAAAGAAAGTGGCTCCATAACCATTAGGGATCCCAGACGCCTTCTGACAGGTTGCTCTGCTGTTCCCTGTGATTTCCACCCTGACTTGTAAGACGGCTGCTGCACCGGACAGCCACATGCTAAGCAGGAAGGCCAGCAAAAGGGGAAGAGAGGACATACTTCTCTTTAAGAAAATTTCCAAAAGATCTATGCAAAGTACTTCTCCTTACACCCCAATGCACCAAGATGAGTCACATGGCCACGAGTGGTTGCAAGAGAGGCTGGGAAATGGAGTCTTTGTTTATTGGTTGGACTAATGCTCAGCTGACTTTTTGGATTTTATTACTGAGCAAAATGAAAAGAGCAGATACTGGGGGCAACCAGCAGTGTCTTCCACAGTTCTATGCCTCTGGCTACCCAAATATCTGAGCACATACTGCTTCCCACAGATAAACATATCCTCCCTTTCCCCAGGGGGACAACCTAAAGTCCCATGCAGTTACCCCACCCTGCTCAAATTTCAAGTTTCCTCTCAACCAAATACAGCTCTCATGTTCAAGCTATCTCCCCCCACCCCCCTTAACACACCCAATCAATATACAATGGTAGGACAGGAACAGATAATTACAATTATTTTTTGAAACTTCTCCAATGCAAAATATGTATCAGAAACACAGCATAAACTTGTCATTAGAAGTTACAGGAATGCCAATGCACACTTATCCTACTTAACTTCAATAATCGATCCATGAAAATCTGATGGTCTGCAAGAAAATGCTAAATGCAAACCTATTTTTAAGTGGGGAAAAATAAAACGTGTTACATGTCAACTCCAAAATCGCTAACATGTTTAAAATAAAGTAAAATGCCAAATATAAGTAACAAACTATCATGTTAGGATGTATAACACTTAAAGAATAGCATTTTAATCACCAGTTAATACGGTTGCAATCAGTTGCTTTTGAATGTAATAGCTCATGTAGTTAGTGTGCATAATGATAAATATTATAATGTTTACCATGTGGCACAGAAAATAGCAATAACTAAGGGAATTTTTAAAATTCAATTAAAAGCAGGCAATTTCTTTTAACTGTTCAATGGAGACTTGAAGCTTAAAGATATCTGAGAAGGTAAGAACACAGTTATTGTAGCCACAGGTACTAGATGACAGTGCTAATGAGTTGTCTAGCAAAGGGACAACTTCAAACTTTCAGATTCAAAGGAATTGAAAGGGTACTCTCTATCTTTGCTGGTGCTGCTGTAGAGACTCCAGAATGGGAAGGCATTGAAAATTCTCAGGGAGAATTATTTGTGCTTTTAGATTGGGAAGAAGAAAAAAATTGCAAAATGGAGCAGTTTGCAGTAAACCAGTAGTTTACATTTGTAAATTGCTTTGTATGGTATTAGATGACATATCAAAAAGATATGTCTTATAATAGACATATCTAAAAGAAAAGCTTCTCATCAAGCTTCCATCAAGTTTAAGACTGATGTTATACACTGTGTCTCCAGGGGCCATTTATTCCTTTAGGCTGCCTATGACCAGTAGCTTGACTGGATA